TAAAATTAATGACTTTTTGCTTAAAGATAATATTTCAAAAGTGTAAACATACAAAACTGGAGTTGGTAAATTGCCATGCACTATGAGCTCTGCCTGTAATTTCACCTACTTGGAAGCCAAATGAGGTGGTTGGTTTAATTCCAGGTGTTTAAGACAATAAAGCAAGAACTTTTCTCAAAAAAATAAAAGCTAGAACCAGGCATGGTGGAAGATGCCTATAATCTCAGCCATTTGGAAGGCTGAGGCAGTAGGATCAGAGTTTTAGCAAGACTTTAAGCAACTTAGTAGTATACTTTCTCAAAAAATAGAAGTGACATGGTATGTTACTCAGTGATAAAGCATCCCTGGTTTCAATTCCCAGTGCCCTTCCCCCCCAAAAAAAAATATATTTACCAAGTATGTATCAAAGATACAATATGCATGCATCATAGATGCTATGTTGGTTGATCTGAATTGTCAGTTTGGATTAAAATATGCTTAATATTAGGATGCTTCTGGCTTGTCAATGGAAGTGTTTCTAGAAATGATTGACATACAGGACAGGAAACTGAAGTACAGATTCACTCTAAGTGTGGGCAGCCATAGGTTGAAGTCCTGGATGGAATAAAAGTTGAAAAAATGAGGCATCAGTGCCCTCTAGCTTGATTCCTCTTGAGGGGTTTTAGATTGCTGCTACAAAATCCTGAGAGCATCAGACTCTAGCTCCTTCACTCTTCCAAAGTGAACTCTGAAAACTATCAGGTTGTTTCCAGGCCTTTTGTCCCACTGGGACTACATCATTAATCCATCTTGTTCTGAAGCTTCAGTGTGTTAGACTAAGCATCTACTGGTTTCTCCACTCTCCAGCCTGCTGATAGACATTGTGAGATTATACAGCTTCTGGTTCTGTAAGCAAATCCAATAATCTCCTTTCAATAATCATATATTCCCTATTGGTTCTGTTCCTCTAGAGAGCCTGAATAACAGAGATGCATAAAGTTTGGTAAATAAAGAAAAGTGAACCTGGTAAAAAAAAATTGATAAGTTTTTTGAATGGTAATATCATAAAACAGAATACACATATGTAGTCTGCTGCACCCCTCCCCTGATTCAGGCAATGGCAAAGCCCTACTGAGGTGGATGGCGCAAGGCATCCATCCTCTGGAGGAGAGCAGTATGTTTCTGGGAATGGGCTGGTTTGTTTTTGTATTCCTTTAATAAGTATAGTTGCTACTTCTCATATGACCATTAAGTATGAAGGAAAAAACATTACTTTTCCAATTAATGCAACTACTTCTAAAGAATAGATCTGTTTGCTCTAAATGCAATGATTCAGCTATGGA